CACACACACACACACACACACACACACACACACACACACACACACACCTTTGTGGGGACTGTCCATTCATCTCCAAGAGAAACTCTAATCCCAACGACAATCGTAACCCCTACCCAGCCCTAACCTTAATCATAAGTAACCAAGTCTTTTGGCATTTTTAGGTTTTTTGATTGCAGCCACAGATTTTTATAAAACTGAGGTCTAACAACCAAATGTCCCCACAATATATTATCCACATAACACACAGACATGCACATCCCCCCCGACTGAGATTACGAATCCAGGACAGTCGAACTCTCATCGTAACGCCTCGCTGCACTGACCCAAAATGTGCTTCTGCCACTTTGTACAAAAACAGACACTTGCAGATCGATGGGTCTATACATCAGATTTACACAGAGACTGGGGGGAGGGGGGGGGTCACTGGCTGATACAGCTCTGTGCCCTCAGGGGCAAGAGCCCCCCCAGTGCTGGACCCCCATGTGCTCCACAGGCCGACGCCAGACACTTTGCCCAGAGGGGGTGGGGCAGAGCAAGATCACATGACAAAACTGGCAAATCAAATGGCCAGGTCCCCACCCGCAAGCCCACATTCCGGGAGCAATTTTTAGGCACCGCCCACCAACCCAAACGAGGCGCAGGACTGGGGTAACCAGGGACTAGATCTGGCAGGTAGCCCCCCCACCGCACGACAGCCTTTGTGAGAAACGGGTCAGAGAACCGGAGCAGCGATGTGGGCATCACCCAGGCTGGCGGGCACAGAGCTGGCAAGCGGAGAATGGGACACACAGGCCCGACACCCCCTGGCACTGAGAAACACTGCCGGCCGGAGCGGGGAGACACGCGTACGTACCTCAGCGTCACTGGTCACCTCGGGGCTCGCTGCCATCCTCTCCACTCAGAGCAAACGGCGGGTAAGTAAATAAGGTAGGAAGTAAGTAGGCACCAGCAAACAAACAGGCCGGTCTGCTACTCTCACCCCGTCAGCGATCCAGCTTGTGGGTGGGGTCACATTTGCATAGCCGCACCCCCACCCAATTAGCACCAGGCATCACATTGGGTAGGGGGCAGCAGCGCAGAGCGATTCCTAAGCCCCACCCACCAAGGCTGCTGGGGCTACATCTGTCTCCAAAACGCCCCAGTACTGGACAGGAACCACAGGCAGCGATCGCACTCCAGATCGAACCAGGAGAGGGGGGGGGGGGGCAGCATTATTAGCACTGGGGAGGCCTGCTGTGTTTATTACAATTATAATGTCCACTGTGGTAATTACAGAACTACAAAAACAGTAATTATGAAGGTCTCTGTAAAGCCGCAATTCTGCAATAAAACCCTACTCATCCCTGCCCCCCCAATCAAAAGGCATCAAAAAAACCAGCAAGTGCCAGCTTAGGGCACGAAGAGACGCTGGTTGAGATGCGGGCGGCCGGTGCCACGGTGCGAGTGGTACAAACACCGCAGAGCGCCAGTGACCCCCCCAGAGCGTCTGTGCCTCACAAAGGGGACACACATCCAGGGGGCGGCACAGCAGATGCACGCTTACATCACTGCCCCCCCCCCCACCCACATGTGATCAGCTAGGCGTTCACAAAAAAAAGAACAAAAAAAAAAATTAATTAATTAATCACTTGTGATCCTAAACATTATTAAATATTACATATTATTCTCTCTCCACACGACGGGGCTGTGTGGAATGACCCGCAGACAGCTCGACCCGGTGTTTTACAGTCTACCTCGCCAAGCTCATACAAGAACATTTATGTTCTGCCAGCGCAGGAGATCTGGATGCTGTTCTCCCGCTCCGGGTGAAAACAGCGCCCCCCTGTGGCTCCAAGGTGCACACCGGACACCAGTGACGCAGCCGTTGGGCAGGACTGCCGGTGTTGCATTCCCAGGCATCGTTAAAATGCCTCGCTTATCTCTGTTTACACTGCAGTGCCGGCGGCCGGGGGGGGGGAAATCGCAGTGAGCCTGGATCGGTTTCCCTGATAATGGAAAA